AGACAACTTTCATCTCCCACAAATCAGGCTTTTCTGTTGCACAGCAAAGGCAGAGGGGCATTGGTTACATCATAGATGGGTTACATCACAGAGACAAGGGTTTTCTCCACAGTCTGTTGGGTACTTCTAGAGCTTAACTCACTCCTGAACAAGTTCTACAAGACTGTCCTAGAGATGAAACAGAGGAGGTAAGTATTAAACAGCTGCCGTCTTTTGGGTACCTTCACAGCCATGAGGTGTGTATAGAAATGCTGGTAGAGTCTGTCAACCTTAAAAGCAACACTTTCTTAGAAGGAAGGCAGGGTCTGCTCTTTGAGTCACAACAGCCAGAATTTCCAAGTTTGATCATTGGGTAAGGTTAGCGTTTCCCATCTTTACTTACTGATCTCAGACTGTGCCTTCACAATAAACATTGAGCAATTTCAGGAATGTTGCTTGCTTCCTGCTGCTTTTCTGTCATTCATACCCACTGCTATCTTAAGTAGCACACGTTGGGTGGGGGAGGAAGGAAAAGAAATCCCTTCAATTAGAAAATGTTCAATACTGTCACTGCAAATCCAAGCATGGCTCTATCTCCATGCTGGAATTTCTTCTTGTATGGGGGAAAAGAGCCTAATCACACACAAGAAGGAAAAGTTGCTCTCCAAGATCCCACTGAACATGCACAGAACTGAGACAGCAGCATCTTCTCAAGTCTCAGCTGACAGGAAAAAAAAACCACTCAGTTACACCGAGAAGATAAGCAATACATCAAATGCCACCCTTCAGCACAATGAGACGGTGTCTTTAGAAACCACGAATACCAATACCAGCTCCTCATCGTTACCATCCGATGTCCTGCACTTACATTCCCACTCCTGAACTCCTTCATCTCCTTTCGCTTGCAAAAGTCCAAGACTCACTTCTGTTCTACTCTTTACTCTTTAATTCCTTTTCTAAGGAAGTATCTGCATACACAGTTTACTTCAGAGAATATTCCAAGTTTCTTAAATGTTCTGTCATACTGGTTTAATGTTCTTCCTGACTAGACAATCCTTGTGATAGAGGCAAAAGAGTTTCCAGGTACTTTTCCCATAACACTGAAATACATCCAAATTTTAGAATCACATGTCAGTTATGAAAACAAATCAAGGACTGCTATACATCTGCAAGGGAACAAAACAACGGATTTCATCAGTAAAGGCCTCCACACTTCACTTTTTCTGGACTTCAAAGAATGCAGTATAACAACTCACTCATATCCAAGCAATTTATTCTGCACATTTTTTGTTATCTTTTGCTAAGAATTCAATAAATTCTTTTCCACTGTAATGAGGTGCAAGAATTATTTCAGTTAAGATTCTCTGAAATCAGAAGGAGCGAAAGTGGTGAACATATAACTGAAAATACAGTGTGTTCTCACTGATCAAGTAGTCCAGTATGTATTTGCATTAAGAGGAACGTAGCAAGCGGCTCTAGGGATGTTGTTATCCTCCTTTACTCAGCAGTATCCGAGACTGCTTCTAGAATACTGTCTTCAATTTTGTCATCATTGTTCTCCCTTTCCCCAGTTCAAGAAAGAAGCGCAGAAACCAGAGAGGCCAGAGCTACTAAGATGGTCTGGGGTCTAAAGCAAATTACCTGTGAGGAGAGGTTGAGGACGTGTTTAGGAAAGTGAAAGCTAAGGGAAGACTTCGCAGACACAACTAACTTCCTGAAGGGCACTTAACAAAGAGAATAGAGCCAAAAACTTCTTGTTGGCAGATTACGTAACTAACAAATAACTATAAAGCTACAAACTGCACGTTAGGAGGTTCAAGTAGAAACTTAAGGCTGTCTTTTCCAGCACATTTGTTTTAAGGAAAACAGCAGAAACAAAGTTTCCATTCTGAAAAGCCAGAAGAACCACTTATGGGTCACCTTCTGAAAGGAGTAACACAAATGCTAGCACTCAGTGATATTGATATGACATACTAGCAATGCTTTTAAGGATACTGTCAATTTCAGGAACAGTTGGTAGTTATACCAATCTCTCTCCAGCCTTCTATAAACTTTCCCATGAGTCTCTTTTCTAACATTATAGTACCTGTACCAATCATGCCACGTGTTAGTATTTCTACTGAGCAGTAAAACCAAAAGAACTGACAGTATCCTGGCTATTCAAGGTACTACTTAAAACAACTAACGACTACACTAATGACCACAATCACTACAATGACTAATGTTAGTCATTACCAAGAATTTTCAAAAACAGATTAATTTAAGGCTGTCTATACTTTGCCCAATTTAAGCCACAGTAAAGAAGACAAATAAAAATGTCTAAGTAGGAAAGAGTTACAGGGTTTTTTTCCCATACTGCTACTGACAGAAATAGAGGAATAGAACTTCTACAAATTTATTTTTACAAAAACATTACATTGGAACTAAAACCTAGGTCTGAAAAGTCAGCATGCAGAAGACACAAAGAATAAAAGAACGAAGACCAAGGAGGAACACAGGAATAAAGGACAGCGGTGGGCAAGGCTGACAATAATATTAAGGGAAGTCAGACTACACTGAAAATACTGAGGAGAAGAATGGCCTTTCAGGTTAAATGGAAAGCATCAAACCGACTAAAAACTTCTAACAGAAAGAACAGGCAGTAAAAAAAATTACAGTGGGACTATTCCAAGGATTTGTTTGCATATAACGTCATTTATACCTATGGTACTAAACGCCCTTCTGCAGAAGGGTACAATGAAAGAATGAGAGAAGAAAAGCAGAACACCAGAAAAAAAAACTCGTGTTGAAATGAAGTTTCAAGAAACCAAAGCTCATAGTGAAGACGCTATTTGTAAAGACTGAGATGGTTCTCGCATATTACGAATGCTAATTTGAAAGCCACGGCAAATACATTACAGACATCACTTCACCTATGAGACATGGGAAGCAAGGTACGTAGAAGCAGGAGCAGTATCAGTACTGTACTTAGGGCCACGTTCTTACATTTTACACGTTGTTGTCTTCTAAGGTAACAAACTGGAGAAATAACTCACCACTGCTGCACTGACCCTGCCTTTCGATTTAGGGAAGAATCTGCTGTTCTTCAACCTGTAGGAAGAAAATAACCACCTTTAATAAAGGCCAATACTTGCCCTTTCCTACGAAAGACAAGTTCTGTCAACAAACCACACCGCTTAATGCCTCACGTTCTCCTGATGCCTTCCCGTCAGTCCTACCCGCACTAAAAACTGTTTCAAGGAGAAACTAGGAAATAGTTCCCTGGGATTAGGTAACAGTTCGTGTCTTCTGACCCTGAGAAAGCACTTCGCCATTGCCGCACAACCTAAAAACGTGAAGCTGAGCTGTCCTATCCTCGGCGGTACAGAGGAGCCAGCAGAGAAGATGGCACACAACGGGAAAGCCACGCTGCACCGGCACGGAACAGCAGCGGGCAGCTCCAGCAGAAGCACGGGGGTGGAACGGCACGGTGAGGTGACCTCAC